TAAGTGGCCAATTATTTTTTCTGCCTTAAAGTAGTTAGATATTATCATGTTACTGATAACAAAACATCATAAATTGTGGTACAAAAGAAATCGGTAGAAATTATTGGATTTCTAATTAAAGTTACACAATGTAGGATGCTGAGCCATTTTTAAAAGACCTGATTATGGGTCAGGTTTTGCAAATAGTAGAGTTATACCCTTTTGGTAATCTTAGGGCTGAAAAGCATGGAACTGCTAACCACAAGGTCAGCAGTTGGAACATGGCAGCTGTTCTGCAGGGAAGAATGAGGAATTCAGCTCCTGTCATCTCTGCTCAGTGTCATTATGAGTTGGAACCAACTTGATGGCACGTTATGGAGGTTATGTGCTGTGAAGTCAGTTGTTACACATAGTTACTCTGTATAGGGTTTCCAAGGCTGTAACTCTTCACAGGAGCAGAAAGCCTCATCTTTCCCCCACAGAATGGCTAGTGGTTTTGAACTGCTGACCATGACATTAGCAACATGACTCATAACTGCTATGCTACCAGAGCTCTTTGATGGCACTTTACAACAACAATATAGATAATGATATAATGTAAACAGTATTTCCAACACAGTCCCTGGTTCATTGAAAGGTAGCTATTTTAGTCATCTGACCTATCTGGCATCATTGCTTGAGAAAGCATCGCAACAATTAAGAGCCAGGTCTGTGAAATCATGACTCTGTAGCTATTGGCTTTGGTATCTTCCTTACTGTAAAATGGGGTAATAGAAATGAGAATTTATTGGGACTTATTATGGTGATTGTTGCTCAATAATAAAATTTTATTGCTTTTTAATTTTATTAAAGGGAAATCTTATGCATCCATTTACATGAGTAATATTAGTAAAACAAAATCAGAATTTGGTAAGTTATTCAAGTATGCAAGGAATGCTCCTGTGCTAGATTTCCTCTTTTTCTTAAACCTACTTCTAATCTGCTACATGCAAAAACAATGAGTTATAATAATTATTTATTTAAAAATTTAACCCATAACTATTTCTTTCTGAGGTCACTGTATATGTTTTTGGGAACCTTTCCTCAGTTGAATCACTCTTAGGGTCTAGAAATATTTATTCATAAACTTAAGTAGCTTTCTTACTGCATAATTTTACAATGGCATTTTTCATCTGGGCATTTCTCAAGGTATAGATTAAAGGATTTAACATGGGAGTTATGATGGCATAGAATACAGCAACTGCTTTGTCAATAGATAAAGTGGCCACAGGTCTCATGTATACAAATATGCAGGGCACAAATAATAAGATAACCACCGTGATATGGGAAATACAAGTTGAGAGGGCTTTGCGTCTACCCTCTAAACTGTGGGTCCTCAGGGAGTACAGGATGACCACATAGGAGACCATCAGGAGGAGAAAGGTTAATAGGCAGATAAACCCACTGTTGGCTGCAACAAAGAGTCCTAAAATGTGAGTATCCACACAGGCAAGACTGAGCAAAGGGCTTAGATCACACATAAAATGATCTATGATGTTAGGGCCACAGAAGGGTAATCGAAATATGAAAAGGATCTGTATGGTTGCATGAAGAAAGCCACCCAACCACGAGAGTCCCATTAGTAAACCACACACTCTCCGGTTCATGATGGTTATATAGTGCAAAGGTTTACAAATAGCCACGTATCGGTCATAAGCCATCACAGTAAGAAGGATGACCTCAACTCCTCCAAATAAATGTCCTCCAAAGATTTGGGTCATGCATCCATTGAATAAGATGGTTTTTCTTTCACTGACTGAATCTACAATCAGTTTAGGGGTAGTGACAGAGGAATAGCAAGTATCAATAAAGGAGAGACAGGCCAGGAAAAAGTACATAGGAGATCCCACCAATGGACTGGCAGTGATGGTGACCACAATAAGCACATTTCCTACCACAGTGATGAGGTAGATGAGAAAAAACACAGCAAATACAATTTTCTGCATCTTTGGATTTTGAGTAAGACCAAGAAGTATAAACTCTGTCACGTTGTTCCAATTCTCCATGTATTTCACATCATCATTAGTTACATTACCTGTGAAGAAAAACAATTTTATAAATGCAACCTTGAATTTCTTAAGGTTTTTCTTTCTAAAAATGATAAATGTGTAGCTACTATTGATATATGCATTTTAACTTTTTTTTGAGGAGTATGTATGTATATAGATGTATATGTGTGTGTGTGTAACAAAACATTTACCATTTCAACAATCTTCACCTATATAATTCATTGACATTAACTTATGCTCATTTTGTTTTCTGATCATCTCCGTAATGCATTTCAAATTTTCCATCACCCTTAACTGAAACTCATTAACCCCCCTAACTGAGTCCTCCTTTCTTCCTCTCTGCCATTCCATATTATTCACATGTAAGTTTTGGTCTCAGTAGGAACTTGAAAACAAGAATTGTGACTTCATTAAGCATCATACCTCAATGTAAAAAAAGTTACAAACCTCACACTTGGATGAATAAATAACATTAAGACAAATGCAGAAAAGATTAAAACTGCCAAAGAATTCAGTATACTTTATTTCCTAATCAATGCTCATGGAAGCAGGAGACAAGAAATCAAAGGCCATATTGTATGTGACAATTCTGCTGCAAATGACCTCTTTAAAGTGTTAAAAAGCAAAGATGTCACTTTTAGGGCTAAGATATGCCTAAACCAGCTGTAATATTTTCAATTGCATCATACACATGTGAAAGCTGGAGAATAAATAAAGAAGACTGGAGAAGAATTGATGCATTTGCATTATCGTGTTGGGAAAGAATAATGAAAGTACCATGGACTACCAGAAGAACAAACAAATTTGTCTTGGAAGCAATACAAGCAGAATGATCCTTAGAAGTGAGGAGATGAGACTTTCTCATGCACTTTGGACATGGTATCTTGAGGGACCAGTCCCTAGAGAATGACATAATGCTTGGTAAATTGGAGAATAGTGGAAACCAAGAAGATCCTAAACAAGGTTTAGCATCAGTGACTGCAACAATGGGCTGAACCATCAAAAACATTTGGAAGGATAGAATAGGATAGGGTAGAGTCTTATTTTGTTGTGATAGGGTCACTAGAGTCAGAACCAACTCAATAATACCTAAGAATAACAACCACCCCAACAATGACTGATTATTATGTGTATGGTATGCTAGCAAGAGTAGGGCTTGCAATTCGATTTAATCTTTATAAGCATCTGTTTGGGTGGTATGAATTCACCCATTTTTCAGGTGAGAAGACAAGTTCAGAAGCTAGTGTTAATAGTTATAATGACAAGTATGATAGTAACTAAAAGTTACTGAGCACTTGGGATGTTCTAAGTGTTTTTGCAGACATGTTATTTAATCACTATTGCACATATATGTGATTGTTACCACTATCATTTTAAGTTTTATTTTATACATGTGTTATTGTTGATAAATGCCAATGAGTTGGTTCTGATTCATAGCACCCTGTATAGGGTTTCTGAGGAGCAGCTGGTGTGTTTGAACTGCCAATCTTGTGGTTCACAGCCCAGTGCTGATCCTACAACATCACACATTAGCAATGTGAAGTTGAATTAGAAATTAGAATTAGGAATTAAAAATGAGAGAAGTTGAGAATTCTTCCCCAAATAAAAGGGCAAAGGCAAATGTATTCAAAGCAATTTCATCAGACTATATAATGTAGTAAAACAGACAAAATATTAAGGGAAATGTGGCACTTTGTTTATTTTTCATTGAAGGGCCTCTTGATCTTGGTCTTTACCGCTGCTCTTGTGTTTGTTGTTGTGTGCCATTGGGTCAATTATGACTCAGAGTGACTGTATATAACAGTAGAACTCACCCACAGGGTTTCCTAGGTTTTAATCTTTATGGTAGCAGATGTCCAGATCTTTTCTCCCACAGAGTGGCTGGTTTGCAGCCAAGGTCTTAAATACTGAGTCACCAGGGTTCCTCAAGTTCCTTTAAACTCTTCTGTAATCACCATGCAAAATTAGGTCCTAAACTCTTTAGCAAAATTGCTAAAATGACTGTCACAGTGACTATGTTTGTTTTAGAAGCAGAAAGATGAGATCTGCAACATTTTAATCTGGGCTTCATGTCTTGCTACTGTATATCCTTGCTTTTTATTTGTAAATGAGAACAATAATGTCCTCTTTACCAGTTGTTATGCGAATGGAATGAGAAAGCATGTGTGTTTATTTTTATTACTATATGTCCATCAAATAAATAGGATTTAATAGGAGAAACATCTAACCATGCAATAAATACCAGAAAAATCATTTTCAACCAGTCTCTAAAGAAGTCTGAGAGACTCACATCAAACACAAAAGAATCCAGAAACAGTTCTCCAAGCTAGTACTTGTATTTATATTTATGACTTTTGTGTGTAATATGTATTTAAATAGCATTTTCAATATCCTGGTTAGTCTTAGTTATTAAAGTAAATTGTTGATTGGCAGAAGTATGGTACTTGGCATGAGAAAGTGAATTTATATTCTTACAAATTATTTAATCTCTGTGAATTTCAACTTTATTTATCAAATGAGAATAATGATAATTACCCATATATCCTTCATTGCTAGGATGAAGAGGAAATGCTCTATTACTGTATTTGAAAAGTGTTGAAAATTGTAATTTATCTATATGAATATTAATAATCCTAAGTAAGAGAAAACACAATTGAAAGTCTTACCGTAGTGATCTTTAGAGATGACTTTAGTGATATTTGAGGTGTTCAGTGACAATTACATCTGCAAACTGATGTTCTTTTGAAATCAGTACCTTTTTATATAAAGGATCTGACTTACTTGGTAAGGGACAATTCAAAGAACTCAGTATCAATGCAAACATCTATAAAGTGTTTTTCTGACAAAAACAATAACAACACAACAACAACAAAAAAACAAAAACAAGCAAACAACCCAAAACCCTTTTACCCAGACAATTTGAGATTTGAATCTAGAATGGATTAACTTGAAATATTAAAGAGAACTGATCTTCTATACATGGATCTGGTCTGGCTGTGCAAGGGGCATAAATTGTAGAGAAGGAAACACCTTTCAATGAATCAAACCACCCATATGAATCTTGCTCTCAATGTGTAAACAACAGCAAAAACATTTTCCCCTTTCACTATATAGATACACAAGACATTTCTGTAAAGGTTAGGGACCTTGGTCTCTCAGGAATAAATTATCTCCTTTGAGTGAAGTGTTAGGTATTCTGGAAAGACCCGCTTAAGGACATCTGTTTGTGAGTAGGGACTTGAATTCCCTGTACCTGGAACCTAACCTAATGTATCTAAAACTGGGTTGTGAAGATCCTGAATGTCCTGTGACTAGGAGGATGACAGGATTCCTGTGTGTAAGCTGTGATGTGGTTTCTCTGTTGACTGATGCCTTAGATGGAAGTTCTGGGTTCTTATGAATAATGTCTTTCCTGGAAAATTTTAATGATGAATAGCAAGAGCAGTGGTGGTGGTGGTGGTGATTATGTCCCATGGAGTGGGCTCTGACTCATAACAACTCTCTATAGGGTTTTCGAGGTTGTAAATCTTTATGGCAGCAGAAAGCTTTGTCTTTCTCCTGCAGAACAGCTGGTAGTTCCAAACTGCTGACCTTGAGATTAGCAGCCTAACTCATAACCACTATGCTGCCATAGATCCTTAAAGAGCAATAGAACATAAAATTAATGATTGATGTTTTAAAATATTTGTCTCCAAAAGTTGTTTTTTACATTTTACATAAGTCTTTGAAAGTAACCCCAGATTGTGCCAGATTACTGTATACTCTAGGAATCCTGAGCTGGTTCAGAGATACACCACACACCCATTATGACTGAGTGGATTCCTACTCAGTGATCCCACGGGTTCGAGTCAAATTGCCTGTTAGGTGCTGTTATGTTGGGTCAACACATAGCAACCCTGCGTACAACAGAAAAACACACTGCTCCATCTAGCACCATCCTCACAATTGCTGCTGCACATGAGTTCATTGTTGCTACTACTGTGTCAATACATCACATTGGGGTCTCCTCCTTTTTCACTGTCCCTCAACTTTACCAAGCAAGATGTACATCTCTTAGGACTGGTCCCTTTTGATAATATATCTGAAGTATGCGAGACAAAGTCTGACAATCTGGCTTCCAAAGAGCATTCTGGCTGTACTTCGTCCAACACAAATTGATTTGTTCTTTTAGCAGTTCATGGTACTTTTAATATTCTTCTCCGACACCATAAGGCAAATGCATCGATTCTTCTATGGTCTTCCTTATTCACTGTCCAACTTTCACATACATATGAAGTTATTGAAAATACCATGGCTTGGATCAGGCACGCCTTAGTCAGCAAATGGATGCCTTTGCTCTTAAACACTTTAAAGAGGTCTTGTGCAGAAGATTTGCACCATACGTTGTTTTATTTCTTGACTGCTGCTTCCATGAGTGTTGATGGTTGGTCTGAGCAAAATTAAGTCTTTGACAACTTCAACCTTTTCTCCATTTATCTTGATGTTATTTATTGGACCAGTTGTGAGGATTGTTGTTTTCTTTACACTGAGGTGCAGCTCAAATAGAATACTGTAGTCTTTGATCTTCATCAGTAAGTGATTTAAGTCCTTTTCACTTTCAGTAAGCAAGATTGCATCTTTTGCATACACAGAAATAAAAATGGCTACATGTGTGGGAAGTGATGGCAGAAAACCTCAATATCATCAGCCAAGACAAGGTCAGGAGTGCGGGGGGTTCCTGCCCTCCGCGGGGCTTGTGGGACACTAGCAAATACGCAGAAACGTCAGGTGAAGAAATGAATGAATACAATCGAAAGGCTTTTCAACTTGCTGTGTTGTACGGCTATGCTCTCTAGCTTCTGCCTTTGCTTCTGCTTCCTGTTCTCTTTGCTGTCTGCCCTCTGC